CGTATAACTAACTGGCCAAGACAGGATTTTTTTTTTTTTAAACAGAAATGTTCTAAATTTTGGGACAATATCGTCTGATAGAGTAAAATTGTATACATTTTTTAGCCAGAATGATTTGACATTTAAATATGATTTCCCTACGGCTTTAATATTTGTGTATTATTTATTAAAGTAGCTATTTATTCAACGGTGACGTATTTATTTGATTGATTTTGAACTCCATGGCATTCCAGAAATGGGAAGGTGGGTGGATTTTTTTTTTTTAAACAGAAATGTTCTAAATTTTGGGACAATATCGTCTGATAGAGTAAAATTGTATACATTTTTTAGCCAGAATGATTTGACATTTAAATATGATTTCCCTACGGCTTTAATATTTGTGTATTATTTATTAAAGTAGCTATTTATTCAACGGTGACGTATTTATTTGATTGATTTTGAACTCCATGGCATTCCATAAATGGCAAGCTGGTTGAATTTGTCTTAAATATATACAGGCATGCAAAGCATAAACAGAACTTAATTACAAAGATGTTTTGGAAACAATTTTCTTCGCCTGGAATTGCTGTTTTTTAAATACATTATTATTATTTTTTCATTTTATTATAGTCTTTTAAATACAACAATTTATGCATAACTTTACACTTTGGTCTGTTTTTATTATAAATTCTGAACAAACAAGTTGGTTACAGAAATCTCCTACGTAGTAAATACAATGTATCTGTGTGCATTCCAGTGGTAAAAGTAAGCCTGAATGTGCCGTTACTGCATACTGGTCAAAGATTTAGGGGTGTTGCTGCCTACAATAATGCCATATGTGTTACACCAGCATCAGTTACTAATCTGAGTGCGCAGTGAGACAGGTTGCAACTCAAACATGCTTGCTTAAAGCCCCGTCGCTATGTTTGTTCTCAGTCCTTATGGTTCGCTCGGCTTGCTTCTTGAACATTCTTAAAATAAAATTCCAACCGTAAACACTCTTACAGGCAAATTGAAATAATGCCACATTATAAATATTTGGATGTAATTACAAATTATTTGCTGTCTTTACTCTGCCTATTCCACATTTTTTTACCAATATATTTTTATTGAGATTTTTCATTTTGAAAACACAAACATGTCATTATCTGAACAGGTTCTCTTTGTAGTTATGACATGACATAAAAAAAAAAAACACAGTTTCTCAAAAACAGGGGTATGTAAGAAAGTACTAATTAGTCAGTTATGGATATACATATCTATACAACATGGCACACCACAGGTTCCAGTAAATTATAACTCAAACAGGCCTTCAGTCAAGTTTAAGTCCTTAATAAAATTTATGAAAGGCCCCCAAATCCTCTCGAAAAGATACTGTTTGAATTTCTTAATATATGTAATTATTTCTAGCGGCAAACTAGACAACATCTGTTTTAACGACTGAGTGGCG